AGCCTAAAAAAGGGCTGAAAATAATGGCTTACACTCAAGTATATATGGTACTTCACATATTGCCCACATGATCAAAAAATATTCCCACAAAGTGGTAGAAATGTCTACATTTTAAATATCCCTTTTCTGTACTGAGATGGAAATGTAGTGTGTGTATTGCCCAGCTTTTGCTGTGTTCTTAAACTTATGCCTGCCCCATTAAATTGAAATCTCTTTTATCCCAGAACGAATGTTGCTAGAACAAACTACCTACTGTTGTATTTACAATATATATTTCTTTATAGTTGCATAAATGAAACAGGTGTAAAACTATATTTGTGTTTCAGCACTGAAGTTTTGTTGTGGAAAGGCAATGGTTTTATCACTTCTATATGTATTGTTACAGAAAAAAATGGCGTATGTTTCATATCTTTATATTCAGGAAACCTGCAGCTACAGTTTTACAGAAATCCCTGAAATCATGAAACATGCTGGTTTCTATTTTTAAAGAGTTTAACTCTCTAGAAGCTAGTGCTGTTTTCAAAATTTTCACTTTCTTGGAAGAATGCATTTCTTTTGTATATAAGATGTGAGGTATAGTAGTTTGAGTGTTGGACCAAGATGTGTATGATTTGGGCTAGGAAGTGTTGGACTAGGTAGAGCAGGGCCTAAGTCACCCCTCAGCTATGATGTTGAATGAGATCTAAGCCCCATTTACATCGCCTATCAGTATAGACTCAAGTAATGTACTTTCAAATTAACTGAATTAAAGGTTGGATCTACACTGCCCAATATTCCAAGATCTGATCCCAGATTATCTGCTCATGACAGATTATTTGGTGGTGTAGACGCAGGCCCCTTTTAAATTGGGATAAAATGGGGTGGAGGGGATGGCTAGATGATGTGCACCAAAAATGTGTGCTGGATTGTGAGAAGCAATTTTCATGACATCTGTCTCCAACCATTCCTTTGTTCTCATATTTCTGAAATTAAACTGTTTAAATTTACACAGTGGGCACCAACATGGCAGGCAAGTGAACCCAAAGGGAAGTGCAGTTCAAGAGGGCAAACTTAAAAACACCAGGAGGGTGAGGAGAGATGATGGTAGGAAATCTGCTTGTATGCACTTTATTATATCTGTGTGTATGAGATGCAGTGTATCCCGGAGTCAATAAGGGAAAAAAATTAAGAGAAAACTTCTGGAGGATGTTGTGTTGCAGTTCCCTTCAATCCACACTTTCCAAACCTTTTTGGATGCCGTGAGACCATTTCCCGAGATTAATGGCTCAGTCTAAGGACTCTTCTTAAGGTACCGGGAGCTTTAATCTCATTTCTTCACTCTGGATTAAGCACCTGTCTGGATGGGCCCTTAAATAATCCAGTTCAAAGCAAATAATCTGGGATTGGATCCAGGGATATAGTGCAGTAGAGACCCAGCCTGAAATGATATTCAGTGGAACTTCAGTAAGGCCAGTATAGTCTCATATAATACAGAATGAACTGCCTTGAACTGGATTATATGATTTTACACTGCCATATCATCCTGTCCGGTACATTCTAAAACTAGATTATAAGGCAGAATAGATGGGCTCCTGTCATCTGAGAACTTGTAGAACAGGGATAGGAATCGCAAGGAAAACCTAGGAAAGCAAATGTATGAGTTCTGAGTTTTGAAGCTGTTGTAGCTGGAATGAGGTAGTGGCTTTAACCTGTTTGGAGTTGACTTGAAGGTACATAAGAACAAAGTCACTGAGGACAAAATCACATAAAAGAATATAATGGTCCTGGAAAAGCAGTGTAATGTGCAGAAAACAACATTATTTAACATAGTGAAAAGCAAACTTTTTAATGCTCCCACAAGCCACACCTTTTCTAGGGAAAACTCGGATGAACTACTTGTCCTGCAAATCTCTGGGAATGGTGATTTGCCTTTTAAATACATGCCGAGCCCTCCCATGAATATTGAGAATATAATTGGAGAATACTGTTACTCAAAATCAGACCTTGGCTTCTCGCTACTTCAGGTTTTCTGTCCTTCCCCCGGCCAAATGTCATTTTTTTGTCATTTTTTACAGTCCAGTGCTTTACAGGGGAAGAAAATGCGTCTCTAACCCTAGCTGAATTGCTCAATGGTAATTTAACAAAAGGTGAAATCAAAGTTCTTCCTTCAAGGGATAGTGTATTTCAGAGTTCTACAGTGCCAAGACATAGCAGGACCCAGTTTGCTTTAAATAAGTCCAAAGTATGTATGTACTGTAATGGCTGTAGATATTCCCTTGTTCATTTGAAGAAGGTTGTCACCCTTGAAACCTTATCTGCTCTTTGCCCTATTTTACCAGATCTTTACTAGCTTAGCTTTGAGGATAAAAAGTAGTTTTCGAACTAAGGGGGTCATGTGGAGGAAGCATCCTCATCAATGAAACATTGCCCTGTGTCAGCTTAAGTAAGAATGATCTGTTTGCCCACTTTTTTCTTATATGTTACATCAGTGGTTCTCAACCTGTGGGTCCCCAGATGTTTTGGCCTTCACCGCCCAGAAATGCTAACAGCTGGTAAACTGGCTGGGATTTCTGGGAGTTGTAGGCCAAAACACCTGGGGACCCAAAGGTTGAGAACCACTGTGTTAGATTCCTGTATTGCTGCTTCTGAACAATTGTACACTACATCAAAATGGTTTTTGTTTAGCATCTTTGTTGGCTGTTGCTCTGAGGGTACTATTATGCTCGTGAGGTGCTTTGTGTCATGGCCTTGGGCCCGTACAATAAACTATGTTGATTGAAACAAAGTTTTCTCATGAGAAAATCTTTTTGTTATATTTAAAAATTAGTTAGGTTTGCAACTCCCAGTGCTTCAAAAGTCCTTCTCAAACAGTGTAGGTCATAAAAGAGTGTTGCTGTTAGTCACTGTATTTGTTGCTGTAGTTCTCATTAAAAACAAAACAAAATAGATAATGTGTCTCTTTTCCCAGAGCGTGCAGTGCCAATTCCCAGGATTAGCAACAATATTTAAATGTTTTTTTTTAAAAAAACAATTCCAAAACATACCACAGGGGGAAAAAGTCCCTAAATAACGTGAATGGTTCAATAGTTGCAATTCATACCAGATTCCTTGGCCATTCCTCACTAGAAAGGGTCCCTGAAAGCACATTAAGAGCACTGTTCATTTTTTTTTAATAAGAGGCGTTCCAATATGATTCTGACAATATCCAGGGTTAATCGTGAACAAAGCACTGAAGGCATATGACTGATGTTTGTCCAAAAAGCTAATGTGTTATGAGAACTGCATGACTATTGGCCAGTTTCCTTAGTCTGGATCTATACTGCCCTATATCCCAGGATCTGATTCCAGATTATCTGATTTGAAGTGGACTATATGAGTCTACACTGCCAGATAATCTGGGATAAAATGATAATCTGCGATCTGATCCTGGAATATAAGGCCTTGTAGGTCCAGCCTCGGGACTCTTCCACCCAGCCATATAACCCAGAATATCAAGGCAGATAATCCACAATATCTGCTTTGAACTGGATTATTTGAGTCTACTCTGCCATGTAATTCAGTTCAATGTGGATTTTATACAACTGTGTGGAAGGGGCCTAAGTGTCATACATCTAGGCACGCAAGAGCCAGCTAGGTATAGTAATTTGACTGTCGGACTTCGACTCTGGAGACCAGAATATGAAACCTTGCTTGGCCATGATTTTGGACAAGTCACACACATTTTTAGCTTCACAAGAAAGCAATGGCACCCCCTTCCCCCAGCAAATCTGACTAAGAAACCTCTGTGATTGTTTCACCTTGGTGTCCCCATAAGATGAGTTCAAGGTACACATCATCAGCAGCAACAACAACATCCATCTATCCTCTTCCTCTGCCCCACTATCTTTTAAAGGAACTCTTCTCAATGTGAAAGTGGTGCTAAGAGACACTAACAGATAATAATCAAAGCTCTGTTTTGCTAGATCTCTTGCCTCTTTGTATTAACCTGAAAAGACCTAAAATTAGCCCTTTGTTGGCTGAAATCTTTTTCAGAAAATGCTGTCCTTTTCGTAGTTTATTTTTGTGTCCCTATAGGGTGATATTGTTTAATGAACACAACTGAAGGATCAGCTATCAACCTAGCCTGACAGAGCCATCTGGAAATAGAGTTTAACACCACATTATTGCTTTTCTAATAGTTATTTTCATCCTCTGTATCTGCGACATCCAAATGCCCCAAGGCCTTTTAATGGCAAGTAGCAAACATGGCAGTGCCATTTCTTATCAGAAAATGTTTGTTTCAAATGACACCAACATGTATTTCTGAGTACTTGAAGGATCATGTTAAATATATTTATTTATTTGGAGTGCTTCTACCCCGCCCTTCTCAACCCCCTAGGGAGGACTCAGGGCGGCTTACAAAAGGCATAATTTGATGCCCAACAATTCACAAAATACAATATACAAATTACAATGTAACGACAACAGTTATAACTAATTAAAACAGTCAAATTAAAACAATAGCAGCAATAAAATCATCATGTGGTCAACGTTCGTCAATTCATAAATCCATAATCCATCCAGCATTGTCATTGTCCTTTCCTACTCTGGTCGTCATTGTCTTTTATCCATCAACCAGCTTACCCAAAGGCCTGGTCCCATATCCAGGTTTTTAACTTCCTTCTGAAAGAGAGGAGGGATGTTGATGACCTAATTTACCCGGGGAACACATTCCACAGGTGAGGGGCCACCACCGAGAAGGCCCTGTCCCTCATCCCCACCAGTCTCACTTGTGATAAAGGTGGGGCCGAGAGCAGGGCCTCCCCAGAAGATCTTAAACTCCAAGATGGGACGTAGAAGGAAATAAGTTCGGACAGGTATGCTGGGCCAGAGCCGTATAGGGTTTTATATGTTGTTAGTGATCAGCTGACAAATACTAACTCAGTAGTAAACTACACCATTTAAACTGAAAAAAATCCTTATTAATTCATGGTGGGAAATAGTAACAGTCTCTTTTTTCTTTTCTCTCTCTTTGTTTGCAGAACCTCGAGGATATTTTGGTCATACTTTGAATTGTATAAGTTCAGGTATAACTGAGAGAAGATTACAAGGAACTTGTCCTCCAATTGGCCGTGGAAGTTTTGGAAAGCCCTTCTTTGGTAGCAATTGTTTCATTTCCCCATTTATAAATTCCCGGACTGGTTTCCATACGATTCATTCTGAAAACAGCCCAGTAAAACCAAGGATTGTGACTGTAGTGAAACCCTGTGGGCACACAGTCAGGAAGATAACTTTACTACTAAATCGGCGTTCTGTTCAGACATTTGAACAGCTGGTTGCTGACATCTCAGAAGCCCTGGGATTTCCACGTTGGAAGAATGACCGTGTGCGGAAACTATACAATTTGAAGGGAAGGGAAATCCAAAGTGTTTCTGATTTCTTTAGAGAAGGTGATGCATTTATCGCTATGGGAAAGGAACAGCTAACCCTGAAAAACCTTGAAGTGGTAATGGAAGAACTTTTCCCTCAGAACCCTTATGCTCCTGCTACGGAAACTACACAGAACTGGGAGCAACCTCAAAAACAAAAGAACAGGCTGTGTGAAAAGGCTTCTAAAGTAGAAAAAAACATTGAGCCTGTAGTTTCCAAGACCTGCATGGATGCTGTATCTCCTAAACGAATTAACAGGCATGAGGGGAAAGCTGAAATCAAGGTCAGACAAGAGGAGAAGGTGAAAAACAAAAAGAAGTGGATCAGAGAGAATTGGAATGGAGAGCAAGAAGTGAAATGTTCTAGAAAAGGCAGAGAAGTTGAAAGACGTTTCAGTCAAGAGAAATGTCCTGAAAGTGAAGCTGAAATAAGTCCAGAAATGATTGTCAGATGTGAGAAGTGCCAAAGAGAGGGTCAGCTCAGGCAAAAACTACAGAAGGAAAGACAAGTTGATATTCCCTTTGAGAGTAGAGATTTGAACATCAGAGCCTGCCAGAGGTACAATGTAGAAAGGCCATCAAAGCTGAGAAACTGCAGGAGACTGTCAGAAAACTCAGTGGAAGAAACTGAAATTACTTGGCATGATGTTGGTTGTCAGAGTACCTGGGCAGCTTCACAAAGCCATGTCAGTAAAAACAGTGACAAGCAGAAAAGGAGTCTTGACAGAGAGCAAACCCTGGAAAACCATGACCATCATAATGAAGACTTAGTAATGATAATGAAGCCTATTGAAAGTCAGCGCACCGTAGTTGGAGATGCCTATGAATTAAAGAAAGAACACAGAAAATGTTCTAGAACGCATCAAAGCTGTTGGTTGATCAAGGGATCTCAATTAGATGTGGAGAAACAATCAGCTGTTCAGGGAAAGAGGGAAGAATTGCAAAAATCAAAAGAGAAAACTCTTGGAGGAGGACAAGAGAAAGTGGCTCATGGTGAGAATGAACTGATTAAGCATGAAAAGGAGGAAGAGCCTAAATTTAACAAAGAGGGAAATAGGACACGCAGAGCCAGTGACACAAAACTGAAACATGATGTCTGTAGCAGAGCAGATGTGGAGAAGTGCTATAAAATTGGCAGAACCATTGGAGATGGCAACTTTGCTGTTGTGATGGAATGTCACCACCGCAACACTAATCAGAACTATGCTATGAAAATAATAGATAAATCCAAACTGAAAGGAAAGGAAGATATGCTAGACAATGAAATCTTGATTATCAAGAGTCTGTCTCACCCCAACATAGTCAGCTTGATTGAAGTATTTGAAACGGATGCAGAAATCTATCTGGTCTTGGAATATGTTCCTGGTGGGGACTTGTTTGATGCCATTATAGAGAGTGTGAAATTCACAGAATGTGATGCTGCTCTCATGATAACTGATCTGTGCGAAGCTTTGGTTTATATTCACAACAAGAACATCGTGCATAGAGATCTCAAGCCTGAAAATCTTCTGGTAAGTGTTGGAAAATGCACTGGCATCTGTTCATAAAGTGAAATTGCTGTTTTGGTTTATGTAAAATTCCATGTATTGATTAAATTATGTACAGATTGAAATGAAGAACAGAGAAGAAGAAAAAACCATAAAACATAATTACAGAAGAACACCTGGCTTTTCAAGATACGAAGATATGCATATTTTTTGTTTTTGATTAAAAAAACATTTTGGAGAACCACAAATGTTTCTTATGGATTCAAGAACATTGGTATATTTTGGCAATTTTTTTTGACTGGAGCATTAATCTCCATTCACAAAATACATATATAGATTAATATGCAAATAGATGGACGACTTTCTCAGAGTGAATGCAGAAAAAGAGCCCTGAAAACAATGATATCTGTACTTTTTTGGAAATAAATGCTGCTACCATATCAGATTCTGATAGCATCTTGCTGCTAAAAGTAATGTAGTGAGAAGAACAGTAGTGATAAGAACTTGTTTTTGTTCTGTTCCCTTCATTTATATTAGTCTTACAATGTTCAGTGAGACCTCTTGTTCCTAATGCACGGATTTTCTGAAATAATAATGTAGCATTGCCATCTTGTGTCACAAAGAGATACAGCAGAGGCTGGTTACCAAGCTTGCAGTCATTTCTTTGCTATCCTACAATGGAATTACTTGCTAACCAACTTTACCTATGCCCATGTTTATAAACCTACCCTGCAATTTGAGATACTGTACTGACATCTGAGGCCTAGAGATGGGACTAATATACCTTATAGACTAGAATTGTGGTGACCTGCCCAGTATGAGAGACTTGTGTTGACTTCACACAATGTGAAATGTGTATGTTGATCAAATCACCCTCTCTAACAATAAGGAAGGTCATAGCTGACATCTGTGAATACCCTAGGATACAAACATTACAAGTTACACTTTATATAGCTGTTGTGTAATAACCAATGGTTCTTCCGTATTTTTGTGGTGACTTAAACTACTCTTCAGAGAACCCAGACAGATGTTCACCATGAGTTGTAATCATTACTCCAATAATTTTTCTAAGATGTTACTCTGCGGTATTAATTCATTTTGATTGATACGATTTTTCCCACAATGTAGGGAATTGGGCCCTCCAATTTACTTACTTTTAGAATTGTGCATGTTTGTGTGGAAATTGTGGATTTCAGTGATTACAAGTACATGGAGAATTAGCATTTAATGCAGCAAGTAGAAGTTCATGACACATGAACTTTAAATGGCTCCATGACATCATAGATATGACTTTATTAGTCTGAACATCAGGACTAGAAAGAAATAATAATCTTATTTTTGAATATTCTTTATTTCACTTGTATTTTCGTTTTTAGTCCTTTCACTTGCATTTATTAAGGTTAAGCTGTTCACATTTAAATCTTGAAGGCACAACCTGATCTAGTTTTTTTTCCCCTGCACAGGTTCAACGTAATCCAGATAAAACCACTACATTGAAACTAGCAGATTTTGGCCTTGCAAAACAAGTGACAAAACCAATATTCACTGTATGTGGAACTCCAACATATGTTGCCCCTGAAATACTGGCTGAGAATGGTGAATATAACATTTATTTCCAATGTATCTTTGTACATTGTCCAGTTACAAAAACTGTTTATTCAATATGTATCTATCAACATTATCAACATTTTCATTAGCTTTTTGTCTCTGTTCTGCCATGATTGGCTTTTATCCAGATGAGCATCTACACAGTACACATGGTATTTGTGGGAAAAATTGAACATGGAGTGTTTGGGTCTGTGATCTTTTTTTATGTTTTACATTTTGGTGCCTCTGTGACCTATTTATACTTTTAATATATCCTCAAGTTGGGGAGATCAACTGTAGTTAAAGCACCAGATGGATGTATCTCTCTCTCTTAGGTGGGAGACAGGGTAGGTTGGGAAGTGTGCCTTCAGTCTATCTATCTATTTATTTATTATTTTCCTAGAGTGGGTGGACAGGAGCTGACTGAGCTGACAAAGTTCTGAGGGCTGTTAATCACTCCATTATCAAAAGCCAAGGAGATGTTTTTCTGGATGAGGCTTACTGATCCAGGCTTTTTAATTTCAAAATTGGAATGAATTTTTCTTCTACTTTAACACTGAGCTTGCAACCCCTAAAAGCTTGTACATTGGGAATAAATCTAAAATGAGGATATGCATAGGTGGAGGGGGAAAGGGAAAGGGGACACATTCTTTCCATCAGGAAAGGAGTCAGCGGGTATGGAGGAGGTCCCAAGAGGCATCATAAATAGAAAGGAAGAGTACAGGCAATTAGTGATTTCTGTGTCATCTCCTCCCTCAAGACACGAGTAGCCATGTTATTCAGTCTTCCTGTTTTGCTCTGCTTCTGCTGGAAACTAGAGGAATAAAGCAGTGTGGATGAAGGAGGTGACTGGGACAGATTAAGTTGGGCTCACTGGTATGCACACATACACACATGGGAGTGCAGGGTGACTGTCAGGACACTTACAGCAAGTTCCACATAGGAAGTGACTGAGGATGTTTTCACTGCTGGAACCCGGGGAAGCACAAATGCTGGTTCAGTATTATGGCTTTCTCCTGAGTTATTTTAAGCAGGGTGTAGCAACATTAAGCGGCTTTCCCCAGGTTAAACTGGAATAGCCTGCGTTCATTTTGTGGCTGCCCTCATGCTGATCCAAACTCAGACTTGACCCGGGTCACCTAAGGTCTTATTGCTAATTATTCAAATGAATATTTCAATCCAATTTTTAAAATACAAAGCGGCATTTTCTTACACATCATAAATTCTGGATTTATTTTTCTTCCTTCTTAGGCTATGGACTAGAGGTGGACATGTGGGCCACGGGCGTAATACTCTACATTTTACTGTGTGGCTTCCCTCCTTTCCGAAGTCATGAACGCGACCAAGAGGAGCTGTTTCAAATCATACAGCTTGGACATTACGAATTTCTCTCACCATACTGGGACAACATTTCACCCGGTAGGCTTCCTAAAATTGTGAAATTGTAAAAGAGAAGACTGAGAGGGGACATGATGCGGGCTATGGATAAATATGTGAGGGGAAGTCATAGGGAGGAGGGAGCAACTTGTTTTCTGCTGTCCTGGAGACTAGGACACGGAACAATGGCTTCAAACCAAGGAGATTCCACCTGAACATTAGGAAGAGCTTCCTGACTCTGAGAGTTGTTCAGCAGTGGAACTCCACCACAGAGTGTGGTGGAGGCTCCTTCTTTGGAGGCTTTTAAAAAGAGGCTGGATGGTCATCTGTCAAGGGTGATTTTCCTGTTAATTGGCAGGGGGTTGAACTAGATGGCCCACGAGGTCTCTTCCAACTCTATGATTCTATGATTCCCTATTCCCTTATTGTGCATCTGTGTAAACGTTGATTTCAATCCATAATGTTGGGAAGAAAAGCTTGAAATTGTGTGCCTAGTTCCTGGGAATATTTTAGAATTTGGAAGAAAGAGAGCATGAACATTGGGGGTTGGGTGAATAATTGTTACGTTATATTCTGGATATCCTTGGTCACCTGTGTGAATATGAGAAGCAGAATAAATTACATAATAAGCAAATTACATGCCTTTTGCATGTTCTTACAGGTGATAGAACTCAGTTTTTATTGCTCCTTCTAGTTTGGCTGGTTAGAGGTTGGAAGCTTTTCCGTCTATTTAAAAAGGGATGGGGAGAATGTGGTCATCATTTCCTGGTTTAAACAAATGTCCCTTCTTGGCCAGGAACTGGTGAGGAGTAGAAAGAAACAAAGTAAATTTTGGCAATAGTGCCCTTTGCAGAACTTTTGTGTTGGATACTGATAACCTCTGGAGGTGTTTAGCCTTAACACCCAATATGTCCACCCATCTTATTTTAGATTAAGTAATGGATCCTTCTTGGTGTTGCTTATCCTGGACAAATCATAATAAATAGTAATGGTGGTTAATAAAAACAAGCCAACTTTAAACAACAGTTGTTGAAACTGGTTGTTTGTTTCAGTAATTACAAATTAGTTACAAATAAACCACAATTTAGGTCCAAAACTTTAGATTTTGGATGATATGTTAAAATATAATTAATGTAAAAGAGAAGCGGCAATTTAAAGTCTCCTTGCAAGTCATGCATGAATTGAGAAAGGAGAAGTACGTGAATTTTAGGTATGTTGTGATCTATCCATGTAATGCTACACAATGACTATAGCCCCTTCTACACAGCTATATAAAGTCCACATTGAACTGGATTATATGAGTGTGGACTCAGATAATCCAGTTTAAAGCAGATATTGTGAATTATCTGCCTTGATATTCTGGGTTATATGGCTGTGTGGAAGGGCCCTACATATCACGCACAACCTAGACCATTTCTTAAACTGGGCCTTGACCCCAAATGAGGTTCCCTTAGCTCAATGTTGGGGTCCCAAAAAACCTTACTGAACATCACCTAGTAGCTGTTTGAGACCTTTACATGAATCTGTTGTGTAGTGCAGAAGATGTTTCAGCTGTACTTATATGAAAGAACATCAGCCTGTTTAGCGAGCCTTGCAAATGCTGATTTGTTATCAGTAAATGTTTGATTGTTGTGTCTATTTTATACACATACGTGCCCTGGGGTCATGTAAAAATTTCTCAGGCCAAAAGAGGTCCCAAGTGGATATTTTCTTGAAGTCCTGGCCTAGACTACTATCTTTAATTGTTGGTATTGTGCGAAATATTAATTGTATGTTTTTGCAGTATAAAGTGCTCATGGCAGTATTTATATTCAGTCTTTCATTATTTTTGTATGAAAATCACTCAATTGTATTTTAACTGAAAATGAAGTTTAGGTTTGTCAATTCTATTTTTAAAAAAGCACAGTGCAAAACCTTTTTAAAAACCCTGTCCTTGAATGGCCATATAAACTTCCTATGGACAATGTTGCAATGCAGATTGCAGCCAATATGTCTTTTAGGCTTGAATCCTGCCATTGACTATAGTAATTCACTCAATTGTATTTTACTGAAAATGAAGTTTAGGTTTGTCAATTCTTTTTTTAAGCACAGTGCTTGAATCCCACCATTGCACCAAATCATAACTACCATCCATGTATATGTTTCTTGGAGAGGGAGAAGCTATCCAAACCAAACTCATATTAACTGCTTTTGCTTATGTCTCTGATAGCTGCAAAAGATCTGATAAACAGACTCCTTGTGGTTGATCCCAAAAAGCGATACACTGCTCAGCAAGTTCTCCAGCATCTGTGGATCGACACATCTGGAAAAAACAATAGCAGAAACCTGCAAAAGGAAGTGACGATCAATCTCGAGCGCCATTTTCGTAGCCAACGCAAGGGAGAAACTACCAATGAAGACTCAGAAAGAGTGTGATGAGAATCATATACTTAAGCAAGTGGTGTTTCAATTCACAGCATTCTCTGAAGAACTGAATGCAAGGGAGATACTTTATTCCTGTTTTGGATTGAAGACTGAACTGCACAACACTGTAATGTCATCCCAGCCACATCTTCCCATCCTTCCATGGAGCGGTTTTTCAGCTTGAAAAACAGAAAGACATTTGGGAGGGGCAAGACATTGTTATTGGATTTCCTGAATCCTTTAATGGCTTTGCAAATGTGAAAAGATGTTGGGCATCATCTGCTGATGAAATATATACTGTCTCTTATTGTTTCAGTACATCTCTAGGCACCCAAAGAGTTCCTTAATCTGTTTCTCTGTATGTTTACATCTTATACCTCTCTTTAGGCATTAGGACATTACATTTTGTCTGGATAAAATATTTTAAGATAAATTAAAACTGTGAAGACCTTGTCCAATTGATAAGATGGATTCTGTTTGTAATAATGTATATGTTGACCTGTGAACTAGGACAGGGCAGGATCCAAGGAACTAGTTTAGTTTGCTTGGATATGAAAATTAAATAATTAAAAAATTAAAAAAAAAAACAACAACCTTAAAACCAACATATGTAGTTATCACTCTTACTAAACATCTTAAGTTTCAAAGGTAAAATTTGAATTTTATTTGCAGAAATGAACACATGGGACTATAGATTTGCACTGTATGTTCTTTGGATCCTGACCATAGAATTCAACCTTGGTCTTTCATTTTCTTTGTAGTTTTAAACCATTAATATATTTTATTAACTGAGAATTGGGCGAGGGCACTTTCTGTATGTACTATGTATAGTATATGTTGAATCCTTGTTTCAGAAGTATATTTTATATACTGTGTGTTTAATATAAATTATGAAAAAAGTAATAGGATGTGGCTGTAATAGCATGTACATTATGTCAGTCTAATTTTATCCCTCTCATTATAAATAGCAAAACATTGGTGCATATAAGAAAAAAAACATGTCTCTTCTTTAAGTAAAGGGTTTAAAAATTAAACCACGAGGTATCCCTGTATCATTGTACAACATTTTAGAGGTCTAGCAATTTTCTTTGAAGCCTTCTATTCAAGTCGCTGTAATGAACAACACATAGGGACAAAGGGGAATTATTAATCTCCTACTTCAGTATAACTTTTAGTAGAAAGTCTCAAGGTTGCGCCAAGGAACTTTGATAGTCAAATGCAGAATTTGTGAGTTGGTGAATTCTTTGAGTTCTAGTATTTCCAGGTTCTGAACTAATTTTCCCTTACTAAGTTGTTTGGGATTGTTTGCATTTGGGTTTCAAGGGCTTGAGGTGAACATGGAGGGGTCATTTCTGTCAAAAATCCTGGGAGGTTGGCCCAAACCTGTCAGACCAGGGACTTCTGCTTGTTCCATCTTGGACTCCAGCCTCTACCTCTGCCTTCCGCTTTAGACCTAGGCGACTGTTGAATAGGAGGGAACATTTCTTTTAAGGGTCAAATGAAAGTCCAATTTCTACAGAAACTCTTCTGTGAAACAATACATGACAAAGAGCGCTGTGTGTGGAAATCTTTCGGTCCTTTGTTTGGGATACAGCAGACTTATTTATTTATTTCGGGTACTTTTACCCCGCCCTTCTCAACCCCCGAGGGGGGACTCAGGGCGGCTTCCAAAAGGCACAATTCGATGCCTATACAAAATTACACTTCTTGTCTTGGTGCCACAACCAGCATGAAATGATATAAATTTCTCCTCCTCTCTGTATGTGCACATATGTGGATACATGTATGTACATTCCTACACACGAGGAATTACATTGTCTTGTTAGGTCTTGTCTGCAAATTTACTTAAGCACCTTTTTTTGTTTGTCTTTTCATTCTTTGGTTTTATTGGGCTGGACTGTATAATACCAGGGAATTTAAACAAATAAACAACAAATCAGAAAATGTTTCTCTTCATTTTTGATTGGTTTGTTGATTTGACATTCAGATAGAAACTTAGCTTGCAGAATGAGTCTCCCTGGGGTGATAGGGTGGGTTACAAATAAATTATTATTACTATTATTATTATTATTATTATTATGCAGGAAAGCTCATTTAGGAGTTATTAGACATTCAGCTAAAGCAGTGGTTCTCAAGCTTTTTCAAGTTGCAATGTCATTTTATAGAGGCAAAGTGACCCACGACCCTGATACATTAATAGGTGGCCAGAAAATCCTGATACATTAAAAATTAGAGCTGTTGGTGCTGTTGCCGTGATGACTATGGTGTCTGGACTTTACAGCACTGCTTGGCTTGTGGTTGATTATTCTTGGCTGGCTGTTCGGCTAGCCAAAGAAAGGAAATAATACAATGTATTGAGTGTCAGATTACTGGAAGTGAGATCATTTGATTCGTGTTGACATACAATTTATTATATTTTGCAGAATTCGCTGGTATTGAAAAACGAGTGCCACCGGCAAGAAACAATGCTAGGCACTCAGCGCGCATGCAACACTAAGAATCAACCACTCACAAGCCTAGCAGCACCCACATTCCATAAAGCCAATGACCGAACTGTGCATGAATCAAGACCTCACAACAAGCTAACCCAACAAATGAAAGTTCGTTACACGTTTATGCAAAGAAATCTTTGTGTATTGCACAATGACGCGATTGTTTGCTTTCCACTTTTAAAATTTCCAAGCTCACCACTGCCAGGTGACCCCACAAAAAACCCTTCGTAACTCTATTTGGGGTCAAAACCCATAGGTTGGGTTTTGAGATAAAGGGGACTTAAATAATATTAACCCATCTACCATGGAATTACTTTCTTGTCAATCCAATATGGATTTACTCAGTAAAAATAGGTATTTTCACTTGTTTCCGGTATTCAATTCCTTTTTCAAAAATGAATGGGATAGTTCACACTTTCAAAGGTATAGTAAATGTTACAAAGATGCCCAAATTTGTTGTTTGTGTGCCTACATGTTTACATTTAAAATGGAGCATATGAATAGTTTACATCAGGGGTCCTCAAACTTTTTAAACAGGGCCAGGTCACAGTCCCTCAAACTGTCAGAGGGCCAGATTATAATTTGAAAATAATAATAATTTGAATTCCTATATACACTGTGCATATCTTATTTGTAGCGCAAACACTTTAAAACAATACAATAATTAAAATGAAGAACAATTTTAGCAAATATAAACTTATTAGTATTTCAGTGGAAAGTGTGGGCCTGCTTTTGGCTGATGGGCTAGGATTGTTGTTGTGTGCTTTCAAGTTATTTCAGAATTAGGTTGACCTTGAGTGAGGGCCGGGTAAATGACCTTGGAGGACCGTATCCGGCCCTCGGGCCTTAGTTTGAGGACCCCTGGTTTACATAATCCAAAAAGACATCTAAAAGAATCAATGGGGAGTGAACCCTACCTCCCTGTGCTTCACTTTTTCAAGTGAAACACAAGTAGCTGCCTAATAGCTGAAAAGAAACATGTGTGTGTGTGAGAAAGAAACAATTCACAAAGTATTTCACCAAGAATTATGACAAATGCAACCCCAAGATGTGCTAAAACAGACATCAACCTAAAACGTCGTGTCTTTTCATGTCAGAACTCAAAGCTGCCTTACATTTCATCGGCATTCAAGCAAGCAATGCTGTAGAGTTCAACTGCCTATTAAAATGCTGTGAAATAACAATAAAACAATAAAACCTGTGAAATAACAATAAAACATCTCTTATTTTTATATACTCTGGAAAGCAAATCCAAGGATACAGGAGGCTTTGTGCTATTATAATTTTAAAGGTCAGAAATGGATGAGATGAGTACATAATGTTCTCCAATTCAGCACTCTTGAGCTTCTGGATGCCTGTCTGACTTCTGCTGTCCTTCAAGAAGTACCACATTGTGATTTTTTTTTTTGTAGCAGAGAACAAGACTTTGTGTATAATCAATTATTAATTATGTTCTTTGTCTTGCCCGCAGCCCAGAAAGGACGTCGTCATTCTTTCTCGCTGCTTCCAATTTACCTAGGCAGACAAAAGCTGAAGAAACTAAAAGTAAACCAGACACTTTGCTTTCAATGTTCTCAATTCTCTCCCCTTCCTTCCACTAAATACTTGTTCTTTGACTGTTTCAAATGTGCTTCTATTTAAGAAAAGCACCAGGGGCTTTTCTGACTCACAAACCAGTCTTTCTCCATGATCTGTTAACTATCTGATTTGTGTTTATGGCAGGGATGGGAACCTTAGCAGGGCCAATGTTTGGGTACTGTGGGAATTGTATTTTAAAATTTCTGGGGGCCCTGAAGTTCTTCCTTGTTTATAGAGATTATACAGCTTGCGGTGGGAATGCTATGCACATGTAGAGCACAACATACATACATACATACATACATGTATACATGCATAACCTAATGGTTCATATTAATTATATTTCATATCAAAACATGCATGCAATTCAATATATCAACAACAGCCATTTCTGGATTTGCCAATAAATCTCATATAATTAGACTGTTACACAATATTTATTTATACATTTAATTTCATTTATTTATATAACTCCCAGCTGATGCAGTAAGCTAAATGTACTTGCTATTTGTTTAAAGTGATTACAGAACTGATTAGTGAGATAAGAGTTGCTATTCTGGCATGCTCCAGTGGAAAGCCGAGACAGCATTGCAATGCCAGACCTGTCTTTAGAGCTTTGTTTGGCAATGTCCAACATTTCATTGTTCCAAAGTGTGAGCTATCAAATTGTAGGGTGCACCGTAGAATGAATGCAGATTGACACCACAGATCAATGATATGGGGCCACAGCAGTCGTCGTCTTATGAGGTTTTTATCTTTCTCTGTCAAAGAGTGCTGGTGTCTCACCAAATTACAAATTAAAATGATGTTAGGCTTCATTAAATTCTGCAGTATAGAACAGGCATGGGCTAACTTTGGCTCTGGATGTGAAAAGTTTTGTAAAATTGACCCATACATTGGGGTAGTGGTTCCAAGGCTGAACCATAGCCTGACACAATTGGACAATGTGGTGGTGGACTTCATTATTTGAGAAGTACGATACTTCCCAAATACTTTGAGATTAGGTTTTAACAAAATGTCACTTTCGTTTTTCTGATATATAACCCAATGTATGAGACCTCCCCTCCTACTGCCATGCTTGTAATCATTTTGTAATGTTTGCAAAAGGAAGGATGTTGCATTGGCTGTAGACTAGACTTGTGCAATCTGAGTAACTTTGACCCGTTTCGTGACCTGGCTTTTGGTGGGGCCCCAATCCACTTTTGGGATCCTCCTGAAATTGGGAGGGCAGATATCTGTTTTTGCTCTGGGGTGCCGAAAGATCCGTTTTCTATCGACCCATTATGGTGGGGGGGTTGCTTCCCAGGCTCCCCTTCCTGTCATTTTAGGCATATAGGCTGTTAGTACCCCAGGGGAGAAGTGCTCAGTTGCAGACAGGTGTGTGCTTTAAGGAGGCATCTCTTATCTGTTTCTCTAGAGGAGAGGTGCTTGACTACAGGCAGGGGTGTGTACTTTTTGGGCCTGCACGCCACACACACACTCCAA